TCGTTACATTTGTCGGCGTTTCCTGTTCTGTACATCGCGTTTCCGCCCGTACTGATAACCTCTTCGTCACAGTTCTTCGTGACCCGGCTTCCTTCAAACAGCCACACTCGAGACACTGAGTCAGCATGAGAGAATCGCCGACCCAACTCAAATCTTTTCTGAATAGTTGATTTTTTAGCCTTCCGACTTATGGTCACAATTCAAGAGAACGAAAAATATTAATTCTTTAACCTAGTATAAAAAAAGGTAGATAGTACTCTGTATGCGGAACCTGGTATACCTAGGGACTGGACAAAGATGTTTAAGGCCCGAACCAGTTCCAGCTAGATGAAGGGTTTTAGGAGGCAGGTTCCATCGTGCATACTATAGATTTATACACCGCTGATACCACATCGTGTTTCAAGGCGAATTCGAATTATTATGAGAGTTGAATGAATGTGTGGGCAGTATTGTAACTAACTGATGAACTAGTTGTTTAGAAAGAGTATTATAGCCCACACTGTCAAGCCATCCAAAAGCTGCTGGTTTTTCCAAGGATCCCAGGATACACCATACGGCAAACGTTCAACTTGAAAGTCATTATTAAATGTTGAACAGTGCAGCTCAGTATGCTTTTCAGCAAGGTCTATAGTACAAGCATCGTTAAATTGCCGCATGCAAAATGTTCTACTCGGGAATTAACTTCAGTTTTTAGTTTTATTGGTTGTGAACTGTGTACGAGTATTACGGTCGTCGCTTTCCCCTGTTATCAGCAGCGGTGTTCTGCTACGGGTGAGGCTCTAGGAGTGGAACTGATAACACACAGCCGTCGATAGTCTACATCTACAAGTGTGCAAACTTGCATCACCACTCGGCAACTCGCTAAACATCCGTCACGATTGCTACAGAAACTGTTGCACACTTGGTGAAGCTTGGTCGCTGTACGGGATTTCCTGGACAGCACGGTTTTGAAATTACGAGACACGATCTGAATTTTCAGTGGGTTCTGGGGCTGAAATAGGACTCCATTTCCTTAGATTTGGGTGGGTAGAACCCTTGCTAAATGTGCTACGAAGATGTGTATTGTAAATCAGCGACCCGACCTGTCGCAGCTGTTGGTGGGGAAAAGGTAGTATGGTTTGGTTATGAGTTTTGAGGTGGAATAAGCGAGGGCTCATGGTGGTTTATGTAATGGTTAGATGGGTGGTTGTAAATAGTTGGGCAGTTGTTGTAGATTAGCGAGTGATTGGGGATTGAACGTGTTTCTAGACTCTACTTCCGTGTCGCCCGCCGCTTGTCCGATCGGTAATAGTTATTGGTCATTTTTACGTGTTTTGTGTTTAAGTACTTTGTAAAACCGTGACTCAATGTTTTTCTTATCGACGTGTGTGCAAGAACGAAACGATGATGACGACGTCCGCCCATCGTCCGCCGGTCCGCCTGAAGATGATCTCGTGAGGATCGAAACCGGTCGCCTTTCAAGGTCACAAAAATCACTTGACAGCAGGTAATTTCACTAGTACACGTAAAATTGCTAAATTAATTTTAAATGTAAAGGATACATTTATCTTTCTTCTGTTACTTGGGTCATCTATGTTTCTTGTTTGTTTACCTTCATTCGAATTCGAGCGTGTAATGTAGCGTTATCTGATTCGTTTTTCTCGTATTGGCCCAAATGAGAAGCGAAGTTTTGTCGTATAATCGTGAACATTTATTCATAAATCAATCATCCATAGAAGGGCGAATCTTATTTGGGTTCTCTATTCTGCCGGTAAACAAGTTCAGACCAAAGATCCATGACGGAATCCACATCAACTAGCAAAATCGATAGCTAGCGCGGCTTACCCAAGATGTTGAGGGTAAGCACCTCACATGTTTATATGTAACAGACCCTGGTACAATACGACATACAGAGGGGAGCTGGTGTGACGTGCACTGTAAAGGTCTTTGTCCCACAATCAAACGTATTGTAGCAGCCACCTGCTCGCCATCGCCAGTCACTTCACCTCTTGTTTCCTCGCTTATAGCTTCCCGCGAACACGATAATCCTTTTAATACGACTTACGTTTAAATCAACTGAGATATAAGACCTATGGATAACGGTTGCGTTAACAAAGAATATACGGTAGAGTTTGTTGCCATTTGATCGACGATAGAGAGATCAATTACGCTCAGCCTACGTTTGAGTATTTTGTGTACGAGTATTGTTAGTTTCGTTTCGTTTTGGGAACTTATGTACCAACCTGTGACTGTGTAGGTAGAGTTTCTGGTCCGGCACCGGGCACAGCACAGGCAGACGTACAACAAACAACGCCTATCTGTGTGCAAACACAGACCGGTGACGACGGTGACCGCGCCAGGCCAACAACCATACCGTGCCTACAATACACTGTTGACTATAGACTAGTGGTTTGATATTAAACCTTCCAGAAACCTTAAAAGGCGGCTGAAATGAAATCGCCACTCTCGTTAAAGAGGATTAGAAAAGGTCTCATTGCAAAAACCTGGTATAATACAACATTGCCACGAACGCCAGTCCAGTTGTGGCACTGAGAAAGAGAATTATAAAAAAAAACGTGATTGGGTTTGGTGGATATCGTAGATATGTTATAAATACATGCTTTGAATTACTCAAATCCCCCTAAAAGTGAGTGTGCCCTAATTGCAACAACAGGTTCAAAAACTTGTGTACAGTAATTAGGTTTGTATTATAACTGCCTATGGCGTAAAATTAAGTTTACACAGAGTGCATAGACTTGCTGACTCGTGTGCTATCTAATTGTTATACGCTACTGTGTGTGAAATTGCCATCATAGTAATATGGTGGGGCTTATACTACTACGGGTCGTATATGTCTTGGTAGTATAAGCAAAGCTGGAACTCGTTGAAGGCCTTGGATTTGACCATGTTAGAGACAGATATTTTTTATTTATTTTTAAAAGGAATGAACGATAGTGCAATGTAGGATTGTTTCTAATTTGGCATTATCTGTGGTGGCTGAGAAATAGACCTACTCCAATACAGTATTTATGTTAATGGAGTTTGTCTTCAATGTACATTTTACCTCGCCGTATACTTATGTTAGTGTTTGAATGGAAAGATTAAATCTTATATTATCCCATGACCCTGGAAAAACATCCCCACTCGCCCTCTACAACAATAAAACAAAATCAATTAAACCGGGTGAGTGAAAAGTGTTTCACCGCTCTTATTTTTAGTAATTTGAATAAATAGGCTATTAACCCAATTTTTTTGTGGCAGTCTTCGTCATATAGTAGGGTTCATAGAGTGTAAGAAACATAATTGAAAATATTAACAACATTTGTGAAAATCAAAATTAACTATTCAAAGGTAGGAAACAATTTCTTAAACAATTGGGACCGATTGCTCTGACTCAATTATACATTTCACTGTTGTTACAAGCCTAATAGGCGGCCATTCTCTCTTTAACATATGGAACTACCTACAACTGGTGATGATTAACTCTAAACTGTTTACTTCTGTTGAAAATTGCCTGAGTCGCTGCTAGTTCTAGGTTATCTGAACTGAAAGGTTATATTTTGTCTACGCCTAACACTAAAGCATAGTTAAGAGATAAACATTACATGTCTCTGATTTTAGAAACATTTACTTATTACATTTGTTTACTTGTAGCGGATTAATATAGTTTATTTATGTTTGCAACTCCTCACCCTACGTTTCAAGTGCATTCAATGCATGTCTAGACCTGTATTTTAGTACTGGTTAGTGGATAGTGGGATATTTTAGACTGGATGGGATGGTTACGATACTAATTGTGTACTCTTGTGCTTTGCAGTCATTCTTTGTATAAATGTATTTTATTATAACCCGACTCGTAGACCTAAATGAGTACATTCACTAGAAAAGTTAAATATGCTCTGTGACTGTGCTGCAAGACCAAACTGGTCTACCTGTGTGCAATTTGATGTTTTATAAAAAGGTTTGAGGTTGCTTTAAATTTGTGTTATAGGGCTTCCTCAAAGGCAAGGGGTTTGTTAAAAAAGCTTTACACACATGTTGATTTGAAAAACTCTATAAGGAATACATTTATTGGAATACTATAATCCTTGGTGCACTGTGTAATAGCTTTGACTTTTTATTGATACAACTTCAGTATTCAATAGTCAATGGCAATTGTAAACTTTTATATAAAAAAGTAGGAATATGTGTGGATTTGGGTGGAGAACTACTATGTAATTATATATTCAATGAATGAAGATGGCATAACTAGACTATGTAGAATTGGAAAAATTTAATAAGCTGCAAGTATTACTAAATTACTGTATTTTATAAGGCAGGGGCGGCTCCAGCACGGATGCTCGGAGGGAGCCATTGCTAGGAAAATTGGGTTGTAGGCTGTTTATCTCCTAAACTCACGTTTTTAAGCTTTTTAAAGACATTAAAAAAATATTTTTTAATTGTAGAAAAAAATGTTTAGTTGCTAAAAAATCAAGTTTTAAAGTCAGGGGAGTTGAAACTCCTGAAACAATAAATCATGAACATCTCCAGCAGTCGAGGAGACATCATAATTTTCCCCCGCGATTGAAGACAAATCCTTAACATCTCCTGCGATCAAGGGAACATCATCGTCGCCACGAGCGATCATACAACATTGTACAATACGCCGCAGTCCTAAACCACGGCATAGTCATATATCCAACACTGTCTACCACTCATAATTCAGTAACATTTAATATTGATTGAAGGTTTACATTTCAGACTTCGAGTATTTAATTCTAATATAAAGTCAATAGCAAATTATTAAGCTTTGTGCCATCACATTTTAAGGTAATTATCAAAATCGGATCTTGGTATCAGTAATCTCACTACCAACAGTCAAGCGTCGATTATCTGAGGTCCGGTCATCCGAAAAGTGGCCGAAAAAGCAGATTACCGGTGTAGACGCGATAGCGAGAGACGACCAGCGGTGACGCCGAGACTGCAGAATATGGTCACGGATGTTGCTACAATTAATTAATTTAAATGTGTTTTTATTTCAGGAGGCTACCCTAGAGTGTGAGGAGGTGCCAGTGTCTCAGTTGCCGCTCGTACCACTCGATGAGGTCGGGGCAGACTCCTTCCTGGGACAAGGTAACACTTGCATCCTGTTAAACTAATCGTCATTACAGATACTAGAAATAACTTATAGAACTATTATTATGTAAACCCTTCATTTGTTAGGTTGCTCACAAAAAATTTGTTTTTGTATTAATGGGACAATTTTTGTTGTTTTGAGTCATTGAACTTTATGCAAAAAACAATGTTGGGATTGATGAATTGCTTTTGTTAAAATACTTATTCAATACCTTATGTCAAAATCAAAACAGGTAAATGTATAGCTTATACTTAAATGATTGTCAAAGCCTCAAAACATCAGTCTCTATAATTTACTAAAACTTTGCAGTATGTTGATAACAAAAGTTGCGTAAGTGTATCATACACATGTATATGGTTAGCTTTAGGTTGAAAGCAGTTGAACATATGAAAATTTTGTTATTTCATTCGATGTTTTATTGTTTCTTAGACAATCTTCCCAAAGATGCCAAGGCCGATGATGAAATCTCGTCCCTTCGAAGTCGTCTCCGGAAAACATTCCAGGAAAAAGTCTTGGTGAGTTTAAAATCAGAATTTTCTTTAATATTCTGAAATCTTAATTGGAAACATTTGAGACTGGAAACATGCACCTACATCCACATTTATGCTGGCGTCTTAACATTATAACATAACTTATAAACTGGTCTATCCAAATATATAACTGGCCATTGAATTATTTAACCTCAATCATTGAATCACCAATTATTGCCCTAGTTGTTTCTATTGTTTGTTTGTTTGAATGATTTTCAATGATTGTTATGTTATAGATGGAGCAGAACTGTTCCCGCCTAGAGAAGGAGGTTGCGTTACTGACAAGACAGGTGGCAGAAGACAGGCGGCAAGCTCAGGTGGAAAGGCGACAACAAGGTATTCTGGTTTAGATGGTCTTTGTTTCATAGAGATTGTAAGTTCATACCCTTTTAGCAGAACTGTATTATACTGCAGCCTCAGATTTGGACTCGATAATAAATTGAATGCTAGGGTTTACTGTTAATGAAGGTCTCAAACAGGTTACCGTTGTGGCTGAATGAGCTAGTTCAAATCTTGCTCAGCAAATACTACTATTTTAGATGTATTCAACCCCCCAGACAAAGCCTTGTTGGACAAACACTTTTATTCATGCTCGTCTATCAACTAACGATGGACTTCAATAGTCACACCTTAGACAATAGAAAGCTAAGTTTTGTCTCCGCCCCTCTTTAAACTTGATGTTAAGTTTGAGGCAGTTTAAGAGTCTTCATCACCCTGCGTTTTGGGGATATGACCTTGGGGGGAATGTGTTGATGACGGGCGGGTAGCGCGGGGTCATTATGCACGCCATTCTGAAAACATCGTAAGTACACGAGAACTAAATCGACACGACGGTGATTCATCTGCCGCCTGAGCCAAGTTTTGTAAAAGGCTAGTAGCGATTATTATTATTATTATTATTATTATTAGCGAAGTAGCCTCCGACAAAACATGTAAATTTTGTCCCCCTGTTTCGGAGGCCGTTTTTCAACAGATTTTCTTGAAATTTGGTATCAATGTAGTTGAATAGTAGTTGTAGTTATATTAGAGCTCTTATACCTCAAAAGGTTGAAAATGAAAAAAAATAATTAGTTTTATCAGTGTCTAAAAGTGACTAAATTTACGTTACTTTAAGACTTTTTTGTACTTATATTATTATTTTCTTGGATATATCATGTATGAGGGCCCTAGAACCAACATTAATCTCTAAGAGAAAAAAGTCTTTACAGTATATCTTCACACATTCCACCCGGAGCGAGGGACGTCCAAGGCATGTTTTTATTGTTTTCGTAGGGGTAAAGAAGACTCTTAATGGGACTTTGTCAGACATAAGTCCCATTTGAACTTCTGTCTCAAAAGAAATTCTGTTCTTCATCAGAAGTAATTCGATGATGGTTAATTATCATCAACTAGTCCTTTCCCTTCAACAATTCTTCTCTGTAATCACTTTAAGATTGTTAAAATAATAAAGCTCCAATTTGAAATAGTGGTAAATATTTCATGAGTTGAGATTTAAATGTTAAGCTTGTAAATATGAAACAGCTTGAATGTATGTTGTCAGACAACTCAAGTAGCATGTGATACATTTAACAAATTTCTACTCTGCATGTTTAGGAAGTGCAGGGGATTGCCATCGCTGCACTCAGACCGACAACAATACTCTACCACAAACCTCCAGCTCTGCGGACGTCTCTAGTGTGGCATACGAGAACAATCAGCTCAGACAAGAGCGGGTATGTAGAAGTAGACTATGAATATGCTGTAGAAAGAAAATATGTCATCAGAAACCGATTCAAAGTTTGAGTTCTTATTATTTTTTATACAAAATGTCCCATAAAGGAGACACTTTTTTAAACTATTATACCAGACCTACCAAACATGCTACAAACTTGAATCTCTACAGTTATAATAAATAAATATGTAAAAAAATACCCCCAAGTCTTATATGAGATATTTTTACTAGTACAAAAGGGCGGAGCACAAAAAAAGAACTAAATTAGTACAAAAGTTTGCTAGCCTGATTAAAAAAGTGCCATAGTTAAATATCCTTATATATAATACGTGAAGGCGATTTATACGAAACACTACTCCTCCGTTAATAATGGACGGAATTTTACAAACGATGTGTCAAAATTAAGTATTTTTTGTGTAGACGCCCCCTTTCACCAATTTCTGCAATTAAAGTATTTGGGCTTTGCCCCAAAGGCCATTAATATCCCAATGTATTTCTTATGAAGAAAAGATTATGTTTATTTAAACAGACGAATAATGTGTAATAATTACAGCTGTTCGTATTAAATACATGATACAATAAATACAAACATGAGCGTTAGTTTTCAGCTGTAAAATAATGTAATGCAAATCTCTAAACACTGCTGTAAAACTACTGTTGTAAATCTATTTGAACCAAAATTTTTTTCCAAATTTGACAAAACATTGATGAATTAAAAAAGGATTTTATCCGAATTGGTTATTGAAACGGGGGTGACCCTTTATTTTGGTTAGTCGAGGCTTTACTCTAGTCAAACATAGAAATTTGGAATCTCAAATTTAAATCCTATGAAATCGAGTCCTGATTTTCAAATTAAATTTTTTTTATTTGTTGACTTGGTGATTAAATACTTGACAAATCACTAATAATATATAATATAATGTATAAAAAGGTCCAACAAACAAGCCAATGTGTTGTGTTGTAGGCCCAGCTGAGAGCAGAGCTGGCCAGGTTGTCTCGTACTGTACAGGAGCTGGAGTCACAAGTGGCCGTCTCTCAGGACGAGAATGCAAACCTCTCCACTGGCATGGAGGAGTTGGATATCCAACATCAGGAGGCCATAGGTAAACCACCAGGAATGTCAAACTGAGTGATCTGCTACAGTTAGTTCTATAAGCATTGCCAGTTGTAGAAATGCCTGGTCTGATCAACAACGTCTAGGGTTTGAGACGCTGCAGCTAGTTTTATAATGTAGTTATACTGCTTTGAGTTATTAAGGATCCAAAACGATCACGCATAGCAAAAAATGCATTTTATAGGAAAAAAAGTGCTGATGAAACTAGATCCAAGTACTCCAGAAGTAGTTTAAACTTAAAGTGAATTACTATTCTTGTTGGAACTGGAGATTGTAAAAAAGTAGTTTCAACAGCAATGACCAAAGTCTAGAACAGCCACTAGTTGAATCAAATCTCCTTAACCAGCAACAACGGTTCCACATTATGGTGTTATGAATAGTGACATTTTTAGGTATTTATACAAGTTTCCTTCTCTTGTGATCATCTTTGTGATTGGTTATACAGCTATGGTACGCCTACTGATACATGACAGCTTTATCCAATATATACAAAAGCATTGAGGTCTCTGCATTCTTAAACACTAGCTTTGTCATTTAAATTGTGACATCTGTGCATTTAATGCTAAAATTTTTATCACAGAAGTTAAAACTTCATTAAAGAAGTATGAAAATTTTAACTATATTTACATTCTTTAGCCAGTTTCCCTTTGTACTGGCTTTTGGTTTAAATGTGACTTACTTTTAACTTTAACTAAACAATATAGTATTCTTTCCCATCCAGTACTGGTGTATTACCACAATTTAATTTGTTATTTTCTATAAATTGACAAAATTAAAATAATATGTAAGTTAAAGAAAATAGATTTAATTTTGTGATGTTTAATTTTCAGAACAGATAATGGTGCTGAAGGATTCCACTCAAAAGCGATACGAAGTTTTGCAAGCAGAGTTTGAAGAACTTAATCTAAAATATGAAAAATTGGTTAAAGATAATGAAACAGAACGGCAAGAAAGAAATAGTAACTTAAGGGATTCAGACTGTCAAACAAATGAAGATATTTCAGCCAGTCTCAAATCTCAAATAATGGCGGAACTTTCAGAAGAAATAAAAAATATGATAACTACTGAAATCCCAGATAAGTATTTTGAAACTGGTAAAGACAATGCTAATGTTTTGGAAACAGTAGCGGCTGTTGAAAAAATGCTTTCACACACCATGGCCAGAGTTGAATCTAGCGAAAGCAAAATCAGAGACTTACTGAAGGAGCTGAGGAACAAAGACGATGAGCTCCAAGAAATAGAAGAAGAAAATAAAACATTGCAGTTGAAAATAGAAGAGTTTAAAGAAAAGTGTAAGAATCTCCCCACTATCAATGAAAATAATGAAGATGTGGAAGTCCTGGAAAACAAAATCGTGACCTTGGAGAATGAAATAGGTATTCTTCGAGAAGTACGATCAAATTTGGAAGTTGAGCACAGTAACTCTCAGAGTGAAATTGAAGGCTTAGTCAGGAGACTACAAGCTGCAGAAGCCATGGTTCGAAACCAAGATAATTTGCATACTGAGGTATCCAAATACAAGGAAAATGAAGAAGAGCTGTATAAGAAACTGAGTATAATGGAGCATTCACGAGATGAAATGTCCTCAGAAATATCTCAACTCCAGCATAAAGTAGAAGAACAAGAGAAGGTCATTGCAGAAATGAAGCACGGCCAGAGAAAGCTTGACGGGCTTCCAAACTTAAATTCACTCTTGGAAGAAGAAGCAACCAAAGTTAAAGAGCTTGATGTTATGCTGAAAAAGGTGTCAGAAGAACTTGAAAATGAGAAACTTTTAAGAAAGAAAGTGGAAGATGAAAAAGAAAAATTATTTGCAGAGCTAAAAAGATTTGAAAATAGTCAAGAGTATTCCTCAAACAACAAAGTAGAGTTGGAAATGTTGATGGACATTAAAATTCAGCTCGAGAAAGAAAAGGATGAATTACAAAATAAAATATCTATATTAGAAGATCTAGAACAAAAACATATGGAATTGAAGTCAGTTTTTGAAGTAGAGACCAACTTGAAGAAAGAACTGGAAATGTCTTTAAATTCAAAGTACAATGAAATTAAATTACTTGAAAATGAGAAGCTGTGTTTGGAACAGCAGTTGGAAAAGCAGACACATGAAAATGATTTAAAGTTCAAAGAACTGAAAGTTTTAAATTCTTGTTTGACCCAAAAATGTGTTAAGTTTGAAAAGGAAGTTTTGGATTTATCTGAAAGGTTTGATGCTCTAAAAATAGAAAATGACTCAAAAGACAGAAAACTATGTGAAGCCATTCTAGAGAAGTCTGTTACAGATAATGAAATGGCTGAGATAAAACTAGTTAAAGATAATTTGGAAAAGAAAATTACAGATATTAAAAGCCAAATGGCAAAAAGAGAAGAGGAATTAATTAAGCACCTGAAAAACATGACAGAGAAAATGTGTGATACTATTGAAAAACAAGGCGAAGACATTAATGCTGATGTATCAACTTTTATCAGTGTGATATCTAGCAAACTGGCATCCTTGGAAGAAGCCAACACTCGGCTCGTCAAAGAAAACTCTGCTCTCTCTGAAAATGTCAAATCCTTGTTATCTGAAGTTAATGACAAAACCGAATGCATACTGAAACTTTCAGCTCAAATGGAAACATTGCATGCAGAGAAACACAGTATTGAAGACAGACTAAGGAATTTGAAAGAAAAGGTCTCAATTGGGAATCAGACTGACGAAGTTGATGCTCCAAAAATAAGTGAAGAGCTGTATGAAGAACTTTGTAAAAGACTTGAAGAACGTGAGGCGAAACACCAAGAACTTCAAGAAAGATACGAAAAACTCCTTTCATCGAGCGACCATTCACTGAGTAACCTCAACGACCAACTACGAAGCCTTCATGCAGAACGACAACAACTGATAGAAACTGTTCAGGTAAATAATCAAAACATTTAGCTATCACAACATTTTTATTTGATCTAGGGAAGTTTCTTTGGTTTGTTCAGTGCATTAAGTTGAATATTTGTTAAAGTTATTCCAGCATCTATTAAAATATACTTTGATCACACATTCTGTTTGAAATGTTTCTAATAAAATAGTTGAGGATGAGCCCTTCATAATTTAAAGGAGCACAACTTAGTTGTCACTTAACCAATGCCATGTAATTCATATTAACAGATTAAGAGACGTGTAGAGTATCGGAGTATTGAAAATAATTACAATAAGGCAATGCTCGCATTGAAACAACTGAGAGATTAATTATAGTACATTATGAAGCTGTTATCAGAGAATATATTCAATAAAACACCATTAGCTATTTTGATAATTAGATTAGTTGGAGTTTTGCTGTACTGAAAGGTTTTTATTTTGTATGGTATGATTATACTTTTGGAAATCATGATTACAGACAAAACATACTGAATGTTTGAAATATCATGCAGAAATTCAACGACTTTGTGCTGAACTGAACAAGACAGAGCAACAAAGAATATCAACGACAAGTCAACTGCAAAAACAGCTGGAGGTAGATAATTGTTTCTATGATGAACTACTTTAGCAAAGAGCTTTATGAAAACTAGCAGTTACCCACGCTTCACCCCGTTTGACTTCATAAGTATTAATAAAACTATTGATTGGTTAAGTTAAGCTGAAATAAACAAAACAGAATACAGTAATACAAACAAATAATCACACCTGATTTCAATTAGGTAATAAATTGAAAGAATAACAAACAAATAAGTACAGCTTAGGTATTTTTAACATAAGGTATATGGTAAGTTCCCTTTAGAAAGGAATTACTTAGGGAGAACTGAATTCATAATTAACCACAAATACTTGAACAAAAACCTAGTCAATAGCTATAAACCAAACCCAACACTTATATCTTCCTTCTTCTATTAAACCACCAAAATATCAACATTTGGCCAACACTCTAATAGCTATTGCAAATAAAAATACTCTTGTCAATGGGGAAACCATTGAAAGCAGTAGATATAAAATAAAGATAATAAAGAGCAAGAGCTGCTTGTAAACCTATAGATTTTAAATCTTTCTAATCATAAAAAAATTTTTGATGCAAGGCTTATTTGAAAATGATGATCATTTTAGATTCTCGTTAATTTTTCTGCCCGGATATTCTAGAACTTCTGGTTGCAGGAGAAGGAGGCTCTAGTGGCGGCCAGTGACAAGCAGGTGGTGTCTCTCAATGAGCAGATACACACTCTGCAGAACCAGCTGGAGTATGTGTCCCAGCTACTGAGAGTCACTGACAGACAGGAGGCAGAGGGCCAGCCCGCTAGCGACACAGCCAACTCGGTCAGTAGCCACCTAATAACTTGCAATATTATTGCATACCTAGCTACCAATAAACAAAAATACCTCTGCAGCAGCAAACCTGCGGACTAAGCGAATTTCCATTCGTCCGAATTGATTTTCAATTAAATCTATTTAAACAACATTAGGTTTAACGAGTACATAGGTTTGCTGCTACAAGGAAACTAATAAAGTGCATTTTCTAGTAAAATATTAATAGCTTATAATAGTATAAAATAAATAAATTTGCCAAGTTTGATAAAAATATATCCATTAAAAAGCAAACTATAAAATTTTACAATATTCTCTATAAGAATAACATGGGAATTTTAAATTTAAAACTTTGGAATTTTCTCTGTAACTATTAGGTGCATAACAACGCTTCAGTGTACTAAATTGTTTGTTTTTTTGAGCTCTACAAAAGGGTTTGGAAATAAATTGTAAAATTTTATGTTTTTCCGTCAAAAATGGAAAAACCAATTTTTACCCAATAAAAACCCCATAAATCCCCAATCCCATAGTTCAATCTTGCAGGTTTGCAAACACGTTTGAATAAACGTGGGTTATGCGTCTGTACCAAATTTAATCTAAATCGGATCATTTTTGCTTGAGTTACGGGTTAATGAACACACACATAATATGTAATATATATTATATATGAATTTGAATTTGGTGTTTTTGGCCTCAAGGGACCTCAAGATAAAAAATTAAATCGGTCCCGGGTCCAGGTCTTACAACGAGTACTACGGTAATAGCTTATTCCCTTTATGAAAATTCGCTAAAACACATTTTCTATCCATAATCAAACCAACAACCAACTTACTGAACCACCCCTTATTGTTAGCATACTTCTCAATTACAGTGGCAGTTGTACCAAAATAATAAAAAGTAAATTATTTTTATTAAAAAAATCATTAACTTCTTTATATTTTTTGTAGAAATTGCAGTCTGATAAAGCGGAAGTAGAAGAAAAGGAGGCTCGCAGAGTTGATGAACTTTACGAGAGTTTACAGCAAGAACAGCTGAGGAACAAATATCTTCAGGATGAGGTATTACTTTAACATCACCTAATGATTTCATGTTTTATTGACAGTTTATAGTTAACAATTTGAAATTAATTCAGTTCTCTTTACCAATCATGTTAGTTAACACGTCCCGTTTGTCCTGTACCGGTAATCCTAGTGATACCCCCTTTTTTATCACCTTGTAAAATACCGTAATGAATCTCGGAATGAACGTAGATGTTGAGGTTAAAGGTTAGCAAGGTTCTGGCAAGAAAATTAGTGGTTTTGATTGCTGTTTATGCATTTATGTGTACAACCTCTAGCTCAGCTGTATGTGGACAACTAACTCAGGAGATGGTGAGGGCTGAGCAGCAGATGACTACAACATGTACCAATGTTGTAGGTGTCAGAACAACATGAGAAGGAGGCAGGGTTGTTGAGGGAGTTGGAGCGTCTGAGAGGACATCTGGTAGCTGTGGAGGACAACTACACTCAGGAGATGGCGAGGGCTGAGCAGCAGATGACTACAACATGTACCAATGTTGTAGGTGTCAGAACAACATGAGAAGGAGGCAGGGTTGTTGAGGGAGTTGGAGCGTCTGAGAGGACATCTGGTAGCTGTGGAGGACAACTACACTCAGGAGATGGCGAGGGCTGAGCAGCAGATGACTACAACATGTACCAATGTTGTAGGTGTCAGAACAACATGAGAAGGAGGCAGGGTTGTTGAGGGAGTTGGAGCGTCTGAGAGGACATCTGGTAGCTGTGGAGGACAACTACACTCAGGAGATGGCGAGGGCTGAGCAGCAGATGACTACAACATGTACCAATGTTGTAGGTGTCAGAACAACATGAGAAGGAGGCAGGGTTGTTGAGGGAGTTGGAGCGTCTGAGAGGACATCTGGTAGCTGTGGAGGACAACTACACTCAGGAGATGGCGAGGGCTGAGCAGCAGATGACTACAACATGTACCAATGTTGTAGGTGTCAGAACAACATGAGAAGGAGGCAGGGTTGTTGAGGGAGTTGGAGCGTCTGAGAGGACATCTGGTAGCTGTGGAGGACAACTACACTCAGGAGATGGTGAGGGCTGAGCAGCAGATGCAGGAGCTGACACAGAGACTCTCTGTTGCAGAGGAGAGAGCAAAGTCCTCGTCAACTGCTTACACTTCAGCTAGGTAATTTATGAGTTATATTGTACCGTTTATTTTGTAATGAATCAATGTATGCTTTTGTAATCCTTATGTTTATCCTTGTATTTGGTACTCCATAACATAAAAATAACTTGATAGTCTGCAGGTTTTATGAGATAAAGGTGTTGCGACAATAAAAATTAGTTCTTTACTCTACGAATACTAAGGCATCTCAATTGGAATTTAAATCAAGTTTCACAACTGTTTGTGAACAGCTAGGCGATACACTGACACTTATTGTCCATACAAATTGCAGGCAGTTCCATAGACACACTCATGAATATTAAATGACAATGTGTCCTGTATACAAATAATTTTGATGATTGAATATTCTTTTGAATGTATTTTTAGGTAAATGGAGAACTAATTGAGGACGAGGGAAACTATATTTGGAGCGAGGGAAAATCAGCTGATCATTTTCCCCTCGCTCTTAATTAGAGCTTGGGAAACAACTACTTTCATCAATGTCAGCTGTTATCAAAAATAGTTACTTTCGGTGCGAAGTGATAAAAAATCATTTTATTGTGAATATATTTTAGTCAGAAAAATGCATTTGTTCTAATCTTAAACAGTTTAGTTTGTTCATCATCTTACACGTTTCTGTTTCAGTATTAGAGCGAATCAGCAGGTGGAGTCATTGGCTGGTCAGGTGCGTCAACTATCAGAACAAAAAGAAAAATTATCAGCACAGTTGGCGACGGCTGAAGACAAACTACACAAACAGCAAGCGGCTCTCACCAACCTGCAGATTGTATTGGAACAGTTCCAACGAGGTAGGTACCTGCTATAGTCATGTCAACTTCAGTCAAGTGGCGCTGCACCTTTGAACAATGGCACAGACCCAACCCTTAGGTTCACGTTAGCTTGTCCACGACTATAGGAAAACTGTTCATCAAGGTGTGGTGAAGTTTTAAAATTTGCTTAGTGAAGATTTACTGCAACTTTTGCTGTAAACGTAGATCTTTATGGTAGAACTTTTACTATGTGGTGGTGTATAAACTCACTAAACTGTTCAAATGATGTTGCTTCAAAGTTTACCGTTACATAGTTTTCAGTTTTCATCCAATATTGGTGAATCTGATAATCATCATCAGACCCAATAGGCGAATGACAATGAATTAGTTCATTCGCCTATTGGGTCTGATGATGATTGGAGTGTCCAATCGAAATCGATCACCACTTACCATCTTTTGTATATTTACCGTCTTGTGAGTAACAGTATAAGCGTAAATATATGTTTGAAGTGTTATAAGACGTATCTTTATTTACTTTCAGTTATTTTTTTACCAATTTAAAATCCGTTGAAAGCTAATTGAAACAGTTTTCTAAGCTGGCCACTAAACTAAGCCTAAGCTGGAGTGCTGTTCTCCATTTTTTTCCAGCTCTGCACCATCAGGTAGTTGTGATAGAAGGCAAAGATTATTAGATGTTTATACATGTAATTTATTTACTCCTCTTAGCATATCAAAGAATTACAATGAAAGACTCTTCAGTGGTAAATATTTTGCAGACAAGGAGCGTGATGTTGCAATGGAGAATGAACGAATCAGGCAGACACTGCAGCAAGCAAACAACAAGAACATGGAGTTGTCCAGTGAGATCAAGGCTCTGCAGGTCAGTGTTGGCTTATAACCTAAGAATAAGAATATTTATTTTCCTTTGAACACTATACAATACAAGCAATAATAGCAATACAGTGCTGCATAGCCTCAAGCTGTATAAAATTACTTTCGAAAAGGGTTTTATATGTAGTTTAGTCTTTAGGCACACATATTTACAGATTTCTCAGTAAATATAAAACTCTAGACAGCCTACAACACACAAAATCTATGTGTTTAGCCCAAGAAAGCCAAACAACACAATTCCTAGAACTTATAACACTTTTTGCCTCATTAACCCTCCAGTACACGCGCGGCTAATAGTGTACACACTTGTACACGTGTGCCTGGAAACTCTCTTTTATTTATTTATTTTTTTTTTTTTTTAAGAGGTCGGCGGCCTTTTTTAACTTTGTATTTGCTCGTCCACATAGACTAACTGCCCGTGCGTGGCAGCAAAGCAAGGGGTGAGCCTAATAAAGTACATATAGCATCAAAATTTCAAATAATCCAAATAAAGGTAAATAGATAAGGATAAATTTAAATTTCAATATAATTACAAATATTTAAAATTGAAAATGTCCTGTTGAAAACCAATCAGTCAATTGCTGGCCTGGACTTTTTACAACCAGCTTGACAGTTTTGATTTAAATTTTTGAATTTCGAGGTTTCTAGTAAAGACTGTGAGGATGAAATCAGAATTGTTTAGCAAATGCAAACCTTGATTATTCATTTCAGTTAAATAGCATAGCACTATTATGTTATAATATTACAATATGTCAACAGCTACAATTGAAAGAAGCCAAGGAAGGTTTGAGCGCGGCGTCTCGTTTGACTGAGCAGTTGGATCACAAGTCCAAAGTCATCACAGAACTGAAGCAAGAAGGTAAAAACTACTGTCAACATTCTGTTTGTCTCTGTCTTGATTTTATAGATGATCCATAACAAAAGAATGAAATTGCTAAAGTTTTGGCTTTTATAGTGCATCTTGTGATTTTTTGTGACTAGCATTTTTCGTTGTATTGTGAATGATTTAATAGAGATTACGAGAATTTTGGTATGAAATAACGTAAATTGTGTATTTTAGGAGATTATGTTTTTAGCTTTGGTTTGTTTATACAGATTGTGCAGTCAATGGACTAAAATGATGTTCTATTTGCTTATTTCATAAAGTGGTTTGGTTTTTTTCATAAATTTGGCGACCAATATATTAGCCCAGAATCACCAAACTGTCTTGTTTTGTTTTTAGTTTTTCTAAATTTTCTTAGAGTTCAGTTGCAAATTGTTTCTTTAAATGTTTTAGACTAAAATTTGTGAAAGTTGGTAGGTATCTATAGAAAAGTTTTGTCCGGTAACTTTACAACAATTACAAATCACCTGAAACACTTTGTAGACAAACAATTGTAGAAAAAAACTAATTAAATTCTTTTATCCATATTTATTGATTTTAAGTCCCTCTTTGCATCTATGAACATAACGTTTTTCCTTACAAACAACCATCACCAGGATAGTAGTCTCTACGTACTATGAATCACAATTTCTGCTAATGACAAGGTATTGAACTGATAAGTAAACTAGGTGAACATTATCAGACATGAGTATCAGCGTCACAACATGCATTGTCTCCTCACGCACAGTTTTATTTCACTGCCAATCTATAATGTTCATTTATCTAGAGTTTATGAAGGTGATCTAATGGCATAGATTACGTTCGTCCCGGTTATATAGCTGAATATCAGCTGGTAATTCTGAGAAGTCTTGCTCAGATTGCTCGCTGGTATCAAGCTTTATGCCGGCTTCAACTTCATTCTCCACTCTTCACCATCGAGATAAGTACTACTTCGCCATTCTGCCAATATGATAGCTCATTTTAATTTCCGATTTATTTATAGATCTTGAAAACTTAGCTGTCAAGGGTTATTAGATCAAACATTTTATTAGTGTTTTATGTAATTTTTAATATACAATTTGTGCATGTAATTTATAATGGTTGTGATGAGTGCTTAGTAGTAATTTACTCTTTTGTATGAGGTAGGGCCTAAGTGATTTCTAGTTTTGTTGTGAGTGATTAAAACATATTTTGTCTGATCTAGCTTTAAATTAGTTTTCAAACCAATGCGGAGTACAAATACTCCATTCACTTCAACTCACTGTAACCATCGGGTTCCTATTTGATTCATAATAACTTGATTTTAAATAAAATTTGTTAGAGTAATATAATAAAATTGTGTGATTTTTTTTGAGAATTCTAGTACAAAACTGCAACAAACCTAAAATAACAGTACCTCAAAGAACAAATCGCAAAGAAACTATTTACAATTGCAATTTCTTTCAAATCAGACATCTCCATTTCTTACAAGAATATATTATTAGGGTAAGCAAATTTGTTATGATACAAAAGTGTATGATTTAAAATTAATCACCCTTACTGTGGAATTTTTTGTTGTAATGAATATGCTTTGTTATAGCTAAATACGTTATATGTCAATAAAAAGAAATTATTTATTGCTATTGAAGCATGTAATATATTTGTTTTTCATAGTATTTTATTATGCTGTAAATAATTTTATATTACATTCCCAACAACTCAACATATAATATAAAATAGGCCTTGTTTAGTTTTGAAACATATAAATTTATTTATAGTTTTGAAGGTGACTAAAGTACATCAAAGTTTTACTACCTTATCAGTTTATTAAATGTCTCAAACAGTACTCAAAGTTTCACTGACTGGTAAAATATAAGTTGTTGCTTAAATTGACTACTACCAGGGTCTTACTGTTAATTTATTACAAGATTCACTACAAGTTTTGTAGCAATGCCAGGTTTGTTATGTTATGGAATGCGAAGTAAAGAAGCCGCGACGTCATGTTCTGGATGGTGGTGTTAATCTCGCTTTTTATCAGAAGCAGAATTGACTTCCGGTATCAAGAGAGGTAGTGACATCATCCAACTGATCATCCGACATCACATACAAAACAGTACTAATGAACTTTAACGATTACCAATTTTGTTTCCTAAAACAATTTCAAACCGTTAAAAAGAAACAAGCTTTGACTATTAGTTGCGTGTTTGTAAATGTGTCCGTAACATTTTATTCAAAAAATATACTTGTTTTTAGGTTTTGCATAGTTAGAAAAAGTTATATTCTTAACAATAATCCACTGTATCATTTTGCTCTTACAACTAAATTAAACCTAATTTAAGTTGGTAAACAAATTCATCATTAAACATCCGTACCTTGAAAGTTAAGTAAACATTTCAATTGTAAAATTTGTTTACTTTCCATACATAGTTAGTTAGTTACATGATCAGTACAGTCCATGTCTACAATATGCAGGGCTATTGAAATTATATAAAATCATTGACTTTATATCTTAAAGTCAATGATAAAATGAAGTAACTCTGGAAAGTTAAGTACTGGTATTTTCCATCATAGTTCTAATATACCTATAGTTATAATGAGTGCAGTTCATGACTGGTAAATTCTCCATTCCAAGTTCACTGTGCCATACAGAGAACCAATAATATGCAATAGAATGCATTTCAAGTAGCAGTTTCAGCTCCTTTACTTGTATTTCAACCTTCCACAATACCTATATCCAAAGCCAAGTTAAGTAAAAATACGATATATTTTTAATAACAAGCATTTAAGTATAGAAATAATTAAAAACCCAGCCTGCATGGCAATAACAATGAATCTAAGTAATCTTGATAGCACGATCTCCTATAAAACCTGTACTGGTGAACGTGGAATTGAGTGTATCCAGACAGCATGGTAGTGTAGCATGACAGCATGAGCCAGCATAGCAGCATGAGTTGGAGAGTTCTGGTCTGAGTATTCCATCAGGTACTGGTCATGCACACACCTGTACCTGTGTTATACTTGGACGAGTTCCCTCACTTTCATCCATCTGAGAAGCCAGACCTCCAGACGCTTCGTAGTACATTACAATGCTCTCTGTGTGTGATCATGTTGTAAATTATCATCTGTTTGTTACGTTGAGTTTGTACTTTCAGTGAGTATGACGTTTACAAAGTTAACTGGTTTTACTAGTGAGTAGTAACGCTGCAACTGTTTATGTAAGGAAAATATGTGCTATGCACGGTAAAAAAGTTAACTGGTAAAAAATAAGACTCAAAAGATACCTGGATTGGAATGAAATAATTGAAGACACTTATTGTCGGAAGACTAAATACATTCAATATAACTGTGACAAATGGATGGTTTATTTTAACTGAGATGAGAATGAATTATTTGCATTATTTAATTTTGTTTTTATTAAACCTTAGTTAGGGGTTAAGCTTAGATTTAGAATGTAGTCGTCAATAAACTTATTTTATTAAATGTAATCTCATCGATTGCCAGCAAATTTTAATTTGGTAAATTTTTAAAACTTCATCATTAATTAATCTTTTTGTTTGCCAAAGGAAAAACCACCCTTGAAATTTATTTGCGAACGTACGTTATAACCCAGGAGTTTTTTATTTTTGTTGGCTCAGTGAAAAGAGTTTAATAGTTAAAGTAAAGTAGTAAAAGTAAAACAGTAAAAGTAAAATAGTAAATTAAAAAGTAAAAGAGAAAAAGTAAAAGCAAAAAAAAGTAAAAGTGAAAAGTAAAAAGTAGAAAAACATTTCATAAATATGTTGCCAAATAAATACTGCAGTATGTTATGGTTCATGAAAAATATAGGCCTACTTTTTGTAAGTACTATGTCAGTTGTGGTTGCCATTTTCCTTATATCAACAGGTTTGCATAAAATCTTGCAACTTTTTGTCAGATTCACAGATTCAACATAGTTGTGTCAATGGAACTCAGCTAAATATTATTCAATCAACCTTCTAGTGTTTATAATTCATTTAGATCAATAAATAACTATTGTACATTTTCAATGTATTGTATATGTATTCACTTTACAAGTAAGTATGTAAGTAAATACCAGTACAGTACTTTTTCCATCTTAATGGTATTGACCTTCCTGAATATGTTCTTTAAGTTTATATTATAACTATAGTCAAGCTGAGCCTTGATATCTGTGTTGTGCATTAAGGATTTTTTTAAATGAACTAGACTGATTAAACAATTTTTTAGTTTGTAACTTCTAGTAAGAGTAGACTTCATCAAAATGCTCCAGTAAAATAGTTAAAAGCCTATTTTCTACTATAATCTGTAGAAATGTTGTACAATTTAATCAATTCTCATAATTCACAATTTTCATACAATCTACCCTTATAAACGTCATAGCTCAATAAAATATGTCAATTCAGGACATGTTTTGGTTTTAAAACACCATCGTCAGCTTCAGGTACATATGTAGAGTTGATCAGTAGTTAACATCGTCGGAAGATAAACACCCTTATTTAAGTAAGTGCAGTGTCACAATAATAGTATGTATATTTATTTAATAGGCTATAACTTATTAAGGTTTTGTGCTACTAAATTTATTTAACTGTTTACAAGAAAGCATAATGTATTTATTATAATTACAAAATAAAGATTAGACATAACTTTCTTGGTTTACTCTTAGTTCTGTGCTACAATGCAGTCAATTGTATTTGTGTTTTGTAGTTGGACTATTTTAAAACTGGCTGAAGCAGTTTTTTTAAAGAAAATTTTTTTTTAAAGGCTTGGACATGGACCTTAGGGACAACCAATTGTTTAAAAAATGTGACCAATGTAGGCCTATTTAAGTACTTACAAATAAATGTATCCTTCATACATCCAATTAAATAAAAAAGCTCATCTTAAACAAGATTTTCTGTTACCAACGTTTATAAGTTAAAATTTTTTCTTAAACAGAGTTAACTTTAGAATTAATTTGTGATATTTTATTTCACCTGTATTATTTAAGAATAATTTTATTTAAGAATACAATATTTAAAATTATATACTTTTACTATTTACCCAAACATTAACTGTTTGGGTCAATTGCCTAGAATGCAATGTGTAACATAAAAAAAATGGGTGCACAGTTGAACCAATTCAGCATTTCTTGAACCAATGATTCCTAATTACATAAAAGGGAGTGACCTTATGAGTAGAAATACAATGTAGCTATTTATTATCAGTGCTAATAAGTTTAACCTTTGATTGATAAGAAAATACTACTGGAAAGTAGGCATTCCTTCCCCATGTTTAACCCATTGGGGAAGGAACTAATGCGCTATCTGCAGCACCCTCTGGCGGCAATTAATTTTACCGAATTTGTAGACTTTTACTCTAACTGCTATAAAATGAAAACCTTAGGTAATAAATTAATAATTCTTTCACCATTTTGTTCACAGTAAAATTGTCTACAGAAAAGTGGTAATTGGATAGTCAAAGTTCTAAACTAAAAATATATATATATATAAAGATTATAAAAATAAAAATTTTAAAAACAATATTTTGAAAGTAAACTTGATATACAAATTCCACGATTAATCCAGACACCAAATAACACTACTATTATAAAGGTCAATCGATTCCCTACGTAGAAAAATCAAAAGTTGTGTACTTTTATAAGTAATAACATTTTTTAAAAATTGTTTGTTTACCTTACCACAGCTGATTTTTGGTGATATGTGGTTTCCATGGCAACACAAAATTGTTTGTTATTCGCTAAAATAAATGAGTAAATACGCAAATCAAGAAGCAAGATATTTATAAACATTATAATAGTAAGAAGAAACAAATACCCCCGCCGCAGCAAACCTGCCGACTAAGCGAATTTCGATTTGTCTGAATTGATTTTCAGTTAAATATATTTTAATAACATTAGGTTTAACAAGTACCTAGGTTTGCTGCTACAAGGAAACTAATAAAGTGTGTTTTTGAGTAAAATATTGATAGCTTAGTAGAAAATAAATAAATTTGCCAAGTTTGATTAAAATATATTCATAAACAAGCAAACTACAACATTTGACAATATTCTCCATAAGAATAACATGGGAATTTTAAATTTACAATTTTCTCCGTTACTAATAATCGAACAAAAATACTTTTATATACTAAATTATTTGTTTTTTTAAGCTCTTTAAAAAGGTCTAAAGAGAAATTGGGAAATTTTGTGTTTTGAGGGTCAAAAGTGAGAAAAACCAATTTTTACCCCATAAAACCCCCCGTAAAGCCCCGTTCCCATGGTCCGGTCGTGCTGGTTCGCGAACTCATTCAAGTTTATCCCGCTTTACACCTTTAAACCAAATTTCATCAAAATCGGACAAAAATTACTCAAGTTATCGCGTTCACGGACGTATATATATATATATAAGTCTATATATATATATATATATATATATATATATATATATATATATATACATATATAAAAATTTGAACGAATAGTGTTTTTGGCCTCTGGGGACATCAAAATGAAAAAGTAAATCGGTCCCGGGTCTAGGTCTTACCGTGCCACCTACGGTAATAGCTACTTCCCTATAGGGAAATTCGCTAAAAGGGCGAAAAATAATAATAACTAAATAACAAATGGCGCTGCCTAGCGGTGACACGAGCGGCTCTCGTAAGTCGTCCGCCGGGCCTGCAGCGGCCGTACGAGTAACGCTCGTAAGTCGGCGCCAATGGGTTAAGTAGCTGCCAGATTTACAATAACAAAAATAAATAAATACAAATTAAAATACCGAGCATTTCACAGGTTGTGCTGCTGAACAGTTTGCTTTCTCACACAACTCTTGAACTATGCCAATCTGAAAGTACAGTACTAAATTTGTAAACAGTAGCATATTCCATGTCTCAATCCCCATTACTGTGTAGCTGTGTGCTACTGGCCCATTCAGATGGAATGTCTACTTATTAACTGTATTGAGTTAAACTAGCAGTGTGCCTGTCCAGATACTTACCATTGTGATTGTTGACTGTTAGTGTCGGAGTTGGCAGAGAAGCTGAAGAAGGCAGATGAGAGGATTCAAGCAGCCAGCGTCAGTGTCGAAGGCAAAGTAGATCGGTAAGTTTTGTGTTGAATCAGTCAATACCGTAGGCAATTTTATTATTTTGCATAAACATCTACATCAAGCCTTTAGCTACATAACCAGGCGAAGGTTTTGGACTTGAAGTCAATGCAATACTTATTATGTACAAATCTTTGACAAGTACATTATTAGAAAAGTCGTCCACACAATAAGTACTTTTTTCATTAAGCAATTTACGACTTCCTTATCAAATGTTTATATTCATTGGATTGTTTGAATGATTTTTTTAGTTATATAGTTTTCTTCTACATATTGTGGCAGATATTCAAATTAAGTAATTTTTTGATGTGCAGTTGGAAGATATATTATTGTTTTAGTTTTTGGTTTGTTGGATAGCCTTGATTTCTGTTTTCACCAAAAATGTTTGTCACAATGTCTTAACAACGTTGTTAGTCATTGCACTTGTTACTTAAGGTTGGTGTGATAAATAATTTTCTTTATTTAAAACAATTCCATCATAGCAAACTGGAGAATCCCATCTTCTAGTAAATTAGGAAAACAGCGATAAAGTGAAATTAGTTTAGTAGAAATTAGTTCTGCTTGGTGTTGTTTGATTGAATTTTGAAATATTACCATGAAAAACTCAACGTGTAAATTTAATCCCTTAAAGAACTTAAACTCATTAACAGTAAATGTGAATGTGTGATAAGGTAATCAATAAATTCCAAAGAAGTGTAGTATTCAACGTATTATCGATATGTTAACAATGCTTCTCACTGGTGGCTTGTCTCTAACAATACCAGTCTTATCTCTCAAGGACTAGGTGTTATGCTTCAGTCCATTTGGAATTAACAATAGTCTGATGTCTACAACGCATTAATCATACTGCAATAATGTCCAGTTAACTCATCTGGGAATCAATCAGTAAACTGCTGTGATAGTGGATTATTGTTTCATTTTAATATGTGCGTAAAGAGCTCATTAGGCGTTAGGCCTGTATCTAGGAAAGATTATGTATTAAAACAAAATATTTTAAGTCCCAAATTATTTTCAAAATTTTAACCGTTCACACTTGCTGGAAATTGATAGAATTTACTGATGATTTCTTAACAAATATTTGGGTTGGGTAACCTGATCAGTCAGAATAATATTTCAGAAATTGTAAACATTATTAATTACTGTTGGTTTCAGCAAATTTCTCTGTATACTGTATTTTTTGTTATACCTGAACAGGAGCATGCTGTAAAATGGGTAAAAAAAAAATGCTTTTTGAATAATGCACTACAATTAAATTATTACTTTTTGTATGCCGTTGAAGAAAATTTTAGGCTGCGGCCGCACTAGAAAACTTGGTGCATGTTTTCTGTGACAGGGTTATTCTTTTGAACATGTGATTCGGATGAGCCGGACGTTTTTACTAACGGGACTCTGGTGTAGATGTGTTTGTTAACTAGTTTTAGTTTTAAGACAGTTAAAACACCTGTCCATGTAACGTGATGAGAATGAGTTGTTGGTTGCAGGTGCCTGGTGCGTAACCTAGTGGTGGGCCACCTGTGTGCGCCTCCCAGCAGCCGAGCCCAGGCGCTAGGTGTGATAGCTACTGTGTTGGACTTCAGCCCTGAGGACAGACAGAGGATTGGCCTGGAGCCGGCCTCCAAAGACATCAAGCTCAAGCAACAGGTGCGTCTAGAGTCTGCAGCCCCCTATTTATCACGTTCATAAAGGCATATAAATCAAAGAAAGAGCCGGTGCAGTACAAGAGTGAATTGTCCGATAAATATTATTGGCAGTACCGAACCAACATCTCCACCTTGGTCCTGTTATCGACTCAGTCACAGACTAACTTTCTTAATTTTTTACTACAATCTTTCATCATGTTTTGATATGAAAATTCACTTGGTGTCTATTTTTCTTTCATTAAAAAAGTGCTTATTTTCCCACTAGTTGCACAAATATGTTTTTGAAAATTTATAAGATCTTGTGTGGTTTGTAAGTGAAGCTATAATACTCCAATATCTCGATAAACAAACGAAAGAAAAGGAATTGTTGGTGAATTTCTTAGTAGTGGATTAACAACAAATAGGAACCAACCTATTATTAAAGTAAACTCAAGTTAATCTGTTAAAAGCCAAGAAAAGGTCAGAATTAATTACTTTGAAAACTCCTTAAATATTTTAATTATAATATGATCGTGTAAGATGTAAGTAATTACTGTCCAAGATGTATATTATCCTATATGAAATGTTGGATTCAGATGTTATAATGTTGTTCACAGAGCTTGTCTGAGGCTTTTGTCCGTTTTCTGGAGAGCGAGTCACGGCCTCAGCCACAACTGCGACTGCCTGTTCAGGAGACTGAGGTGATCTTAAATTATAAACCACATCATTTTTCATACAAACTGTGTGATAAATCTCACATTGGTATTGCTTTAATCCATAGAAATCTGATTGTTAATTACACCTCTGCTCTAAGTAAAGTAGAAAGTAAAAAAGGTTTGGACCAGATGTAGTTCTAGTACAAATCACCAATTTGTTAGGACATTGAACTATAGTTCGGCCGCTTAGAAAACGACCTGCGCGCTAATGCTAAACCAATGCTGGAGAAGGTCGTTTTCTAAGCGGCCGACCTATAGTCTTAAAATGCTGTTAAGGCCTCTTGTCATGCATATGGTCTTTGAAAGATTAAATGAAAAGCAACAAATCAGTCATCTTTACATAACTGTATTACTTTTCTTTCATTAATAAATGAGTAAAATGTGAAGACATCAAATAAAAAAATACCCCCACCGCAGCTTACCTGCAAACTAAACAAATTTCCATTTGCCTGTATTGATATTATACAATTAAATCTAATTAATTACATAATTAAATGAGTACATAGGTTTGCTGCTACAGGGAGGCTAATAAAGTGTGTTTTTAGTAAAATATTAACAGCTTAGTATAAAATAAAGAAATTTGCCAAGTTTGATCAAAACATATCAATAAATAAGCAATTTACAACATTTTACAATATTATCCACCTTCAAACCAAATTTCATCAAAATCAAACAAAAATTACCCAAGTTCATGGACACACCTATACATATATACAGATTTGAACCAATTGTGTTTTTGGCCTCTAGGGACATCAAAATAAAAAAGTAAATCGGTCCCGGGCTCAAGTCTTCCCTATAAGGAAATTCGCGGTAAATATTTTGAAAATATAACCTATAAAACCTTATTTTTTTAAACTAGCTAATTTTATGTTTCTTCAACTTCAAGACGTTTTTTGTCAGCCAAATTCTTCATCGGGGCATGTTTCATGACACACTTACAAGTTACAAGCTGTAACTTGTAGTTTCCATTAGAAAAAAAATTGCATTGGGTGATCAGTTGATTTACTAGTCATATTAATGTGTAGTTTATTATGAAACAGGACTCAGGAAGCCAAATCCAAATTACCAAAGTTGACAAATGGGGTTCAGAGTTTTGTTCAAATATTCGGCTCCCCTCTGTAACATATTTTATTGTTTGAGAAGTGGTAGTAAGTAAACTAGATATAAAACAGGCACTTGCCTTTGTGAGCTTTAGTATAAAAACTTTCCCCTGTAGTCTGTTCAAATAACTAAGGCAGTCAGGGAAGGGCCTACTTGCAGCCAAAGCAAACCTTATTCATTGGCTGCAAGTCGGCCCCATCCATGACCTAAGAAGATTTGGGTTGTCTTTAAGCCAATAATTTAGATATTGTTTCCCTCCCTTAAATTTTATGTGCCTTTAGAATTTTGTTTTTTGTATAAAGTAATAAGCCTTATGATTCAATTTCAAGTATGATGTCTTATTTCAGGGTTCAAGGAGTCGTAAGACATCTTTCAATTCAGGTGAACTAGCGTTGCCGCCTGCTCGCCGAACCAGCGGTTCCGTCCTTAAGGATGTTCTCAAACAAGACCTTTAATTTATATTCAATAACTATTTTAGAGTATTTTGTATTATATTGTATAAATACTTATTATTATATCTCATTGTATTATTATGGTTCAAGAAAATGTTGTTTTAATTTGGCGTTTCAATTAACCTGACTCCGTTAAAAATCCATTACCACAGAATTAAAATAATTTTATATACCCTTTTGGCAATCAATGAGGTGCATCTTTTTTTGTTTAAACTTATTATTAGGACTAAATAGTAAAATTATATTGGGCTATTATTTTTTTAATTTTGACAAAGTAACTCTGTATTTAATTTGAGTCACTTGAACATTTTTTTAAAAATTAAAATTAAATGCTTCTGTATTGAGACAAACATAGGAACTCACAATCCTTTCTTACAGTTAACCTCAAGAAAAAAAATTACAGTGGACTCCCAATTATCGAGGACTATGAGTTGCTTAGTGATCGATGATAATGCATACCTAACCTAAAATGCCCGGAAAAGAACTAAAATTGATTTTTAATCTTTAGTTAAGTTTTCATACAGGTTATTAACGTTATTAAGGTTTATAAGGTATTACACAGTATTAAGGTTTAAGTAATTATAAAACATAAAGAAACCATTTGGATGCATTTTGTGTAGAAAAAGTGTACTGCTAATAGTAAACAATTTTCGTTATAGGGAACTGGTGGGCAACTTATTTAAATCAAGTGTATTGAGTTTTCTTATATGGGTTTATTATTTTATTATCTTCATTTAAAAGTTTGAGATGTCGTAAGATATTGACAAAGATAAACAACATTCATTAGTACATGTTTTATCCAATATTAGAGTACATACCTCTACTAAAGTCTCTACAATAAGTCATATATGTCTGGTACAGTTGTATGTTTTTGTTTCATTATCCTCAGATCCCATCATTACCATTTGGTTTTGTTTGACATATTAATCTGTGTGGGTGTCTGTAGGCATAAATCTACTTAACAGACTCACAATTTTGATGAAATCACAGAAAGATGCAGAAACTCATAACCCTACCACTCTCCTCCAGGTTTTTCTTGCTATTTAAATTTTCTCAATGTACATATTTGTTTCACGCAATTAGCATTTTTTACGTTTTTACAAGGGAACGATCCAAACTCTGGTCCTGTTACGATCTAGCTTTGACCCTTTTTGTTAGATAGCATCACTAATTGATAGCCTAATAACAAATATTGACATTTGGGTCCAGTAACGATTAAAGTGTACTCATCCTTTATATAGTTAACCAAAGTGGGCTTGTCATTTATATACTAGTTGACCGTCCAACATTACAAATCCGAAGCTGGTTCTGTAGAAGTAATTGTAATGTTGCTCATTAAAAATATTGAGAAATGAAATTAATAATATTTATCTAAATAAAAATTATTTTGTTTTCTTTTAAAAGTTAAAGGTTTAAAATATACATATAAATGCAAAGAGAAGCAAAATGAAAAAGCTATTGAAGTCATGATAACTCAATAATATAGAAAACTTAACAAGATCCAAATTGGCTTGGTTTTAGGTTTCTGGCAGGTGAGAAGAAACCAACCAAGTTTACAGAGACATTTTGATTGCAACTAATGAAGTTTGCTCAGGAATTGAATTGAGTTGTTAGTTGATCTCCCAGGGGAGACAAAAATGTATCGTGTTTCCTCGGTTATGTAACTTCATCATTGTTACATAATATTTAGTGCCACGGCATAATAATATTTAAAGTATTATTTATTATATTGAGGTTGTTTTACAAATTATGGAAGAATGTTGAATATTTTAATGAAATATTCATTGCCTAGGTGGCATTTTGTGGTGTGTTATTCATACTGTAATGTTCTACATGAATAACATTTTGTCTAAAGCTGGTTCATACAAATGGAAGATCTATCCTGGTTGTTTAATATCCTATGATAGTTAATGGGTGCATATGATATTTTGTTTTGGTTTGAAACAAGTTGCCCTTTTTATTATAACATTACCATGTTATAAAGTTGATGAAAACAATAATTTTATTTTACATCAGCCCAAGCTATAGCTAGGCTAAATTGAAGTTCTTTTGTTATTCTAAAATATTGCTACAAGTTTAAGATGAGAACGAAACCATTACGGAACTAACGTCTACTTCAACGTATCTACTGTTAGAACAAAAATGTACATTTTCCTATCACTTAATTATTTATTGAATAGCCTTTTCACTACATTGCAATCTTGTCACAATAAAAGACATTTTGGGAATCACTATCAAACCTAAATGACCATTTAGGAACAAACCAAGTAAATTGCAGCTGTCTCACCATTATACAAATCGGTGTTGACCAATACAATATTTTGTTTTGTTGTACAACCATTGTGCAGTGATATAAGCTATGAGTCGGGACTGGCTATATTTGTCGGTTTTGCTTCTGATGGCACAAATCATCGGAGTTCTACCTGTAAAGTGGAACAGACACATAAATTATACACTGCACCTCTGTGGTCATCATTCGGGTAAGAACAGATTTATAGTGTGAACTGTACTAAAGTACTTGGGTAGTATATATATAGTTTTTGTTGGGGTTTATTGAGCACTTTGTTTTGGTCTGGTTTTTGTACAGTTGAAAACTTCTTCTAACTTTGGGGGACATTAGTTGTGTATTTGACATTTTAGTGTTATGTGATTGTACTGTATAATAAAAGGTACAGAGGTAGCAAGTTTAGAGTTTGAACATAGACTAAGCAACACAAGTAGACTTCCCACCCCATTGTAAATTTTGAGGCTCGTTTTTCATGTCTAGTTCATGTCCGGTGACACACTGATTGCTAGTGTTGACGAAATTTAGTTTATATTATTTTAGAGTTAATTTCATAATTTGTGCTTTAATGTTTGGTTATATAACTAGATTATGAGTTATTATTTATGGTTAGATCGTTTTATTTGGCTAAACGGGGGTTTAAATTACTGAAATAATAAGATACCAATTGTAAACAAAAAACAAACTCTACAGTACAGTTCACTGGTCAGAACTAACAATAAAATTGGCTTTAACTGTTCCATAAGGATGAGAAATCCAAGGAAGTATGTCTTATCTATGTTTTGAATCTTTCCGTTTCAGAATAAAAGAACAGTGTCTACAACAGCTGTTATTTGACCCAAAATACATTTAATTGATGTGTTATTAATGTTGATTTTAAACGATAGTGTGAGGCAAATAACGTGGATGAAGAAACACCTGCCTCGTTATGTTTCATGTTCTTAACCATTGATTCTTTATAAGTTTTATATGACATTGTATTTTCTAGTCTGTTAGTATCAATTTGTTCCAGATTGTTTTTCTGGGAGCAGACAATGGCAAGCGTTCTCGTTCATCAACGTAGCATTCATTATCTACGAAACTTACAACCTCTTCAATCGGGTTCCTTGGAGATATCTGTTGTCAATGACAGGACTTGTTCTTGTGATCAGTAAAGGAGCTGCAATCTGCTCTTTGCTTCTTTCACTCCTGTACAAACCACAACAGCTTGCCCAGTGTTGTAGTAGGGCATGTAAAGTTTACAGTCTACCATCAACCCATAAGAATGTATTCTCCTTTTGGCTGTTTACATTTCTTTGTATCTATCCCTTCATTACAATATATTATATAATAATTTATGCATTTCTGAACAATGTGAGTTTTGAGTTTTTTTCCATGCTTGCAAGATCCAATTATCTCTACACACCCATCGCTGGTGTTGAAGTTGTAGTGACGATTTTTTGTTTAATCTCATCCAGGGCGTATAGCAGCATAAATTCAGAGATGCAAAAGCTTAAAGCGCTAAATAAAAAGAATTTCAAATATTTCATCGTTCTGTTGAAAAGACATATATTTGTATCAAAGTTTTGTCAGTTAGTTGCCGCACACTTTAGTCCGCATTTTCTCAACACTTTTGCAGCTTATATATTCAGGATGATATGGTTTGCCATCACAATTATTGCCACTGTGAGATCAGGAAACTTAGACAGCATCATACCTTTCGGTATTCACGCGCTGTACACAACCGTCCGCTTGTTTTTCATATGTCACTGGTGTCATAAGGTGAAGCTTGAGGTACGATTATTCTTTTAGATTAAGATATTGTTTCTAATGTAAAATGACAATCATAATTTTTTATGAATTTGGAATATGGATGAGGTGATTGAGATGTAACTGATTAATCACATGTTATTTTCTGTCATGTAGGTAAATTTTGATTAGTAAAAAACCAATAAAAAAAAAAAATTACCGTAAGCAATAAATTATAACATTTATGTATTTTAGTAGCTAAACAAAATGAATAACAGTTAGATGGAATAACAATTTGTAATTAAAGAGTAAATGTTGATGCATTTTATCCACCAAGATGCCACTTGCATCTGAATTACTACAAATAAAAAAAATAAAATAAATAAAGAACAATACCTTATAATTTATGGCAACAAAGTAAGCTTTTCATTAGTTTTAGTGACTAATTCATAAAAACATGAGAGGGAAAAATTGAAACGCCTAAATTTATGAGTGATGTCAAATAAACTAAAATTATAAGATATAAATTTTTTCAAAAAGATTTTTAAGAAAACGTAGATGTAAATTAAGTTATGATAAAATGCAGCTATTTCAAGAGGCAGTTATTCCTACAAGAATTACTTCCAGTTGCCCCAAAGATTACTTTCATAATATCCAAACTCTAAAATTAGTACGGTATTGACAAAGTGTTTAAGAACTAAAATATTTTTTCAGTTAAATGAAACATTGGTAACCTTTCGAAATCTCCGTATTTCATGGACTGTGCAAATGTCTACTGACGAAGACATGTTGGTAAGGTACAAGGTTGCGAGGTAGTATCTTATGGTAATATACAAAGTTTAAAGAGTCAAGTATCCTTTATGGGTAAAACAACTTACTATTTACGTAGTTGTAATAAATGGATTGCGTTATAACCTGACAAAAAATAAGTACCGGTAATATGTAGAAAAAACAGAAAAAAACAATATGCCAAAGTGAGATCTGTTCTGTGAGATATGTTCTGGGTATTTAAGTTCAGCCAATGCCAGATTTAACAGCGGAATTCAAACTAAAGTGCAGTAATTTATTGAAAACAAAGTACAGTATTAATAAA